AGAGGAAAAGTACGACAATAATCACTAGAATGAAGAAGATTAATTAAAACAACACAATTTCATGAAAATATTATATTTATTTGCTAAATATAAAATATGTTTAGAAAAATATTGATAATCTCTAGACAAAATACATGTGCAAGTGTATGATCGGGAAAGTTTGGGTTGGATAGTGAGAAAATCATATCCATCCATTACCGGTCGTGTTCGGGTTTTATTTGTATCCACTAAAAATCCTTCAGGTTCAAATTTTACCCTATTCAATTAGATCGGATTCGAACAAATTTGTACGATTGCAGATATTTTTGTCATCACATGTAGAAGCATGTGAGGTGAGAGTAACTGTAGGCTCTTAATCTTTTTATAGTTTTGTAAGAAAAAAAAAAGGGGAAGAACAAATATAACAAGTTGAACTGTTTTTAATTGACTGAAGAGAGTTTCACCATGGAGCCTAACAAAGTTAGAAGCTGGACTAATTGGGTAGGATCAGTATTAAGCATAGTCCATGAAACCGTACCGTACCGGCAGTTCAACCACAAAATACTAGTATCGGAGGCTAAACCGATAGGCGGTATTTAACGGTACTAATGGTTGAACAACGGTTTTGTCATAAAATACCCTACCGCTAACTTTTCCGGTACGATCTCCGGTACGGTTTCATGGACCATGGTATTAAGCCTCGAAGTTAATCCTTGCATAGTGAGATCTCAGTCATTGATTTTAAGTGAGGTTAAAGAGTTTTCTATTTTCCCTACTTTTTCAATTGATTTTTTTTAACTTTTGATTTAATATTTTTTACTATTGAGGTTCGTTATGATCTACAAAATTATATCAATTATCAATGTATTTTGAGAAAAAAATTTTGTACCACGCATACCACTTGTTAGTTGTTACCACCCTGGTACCACCTTTGTTTTTAAATTGGATTTTGAAAAAATTTCTCCAGAAGGAAATAGTTCATTGTGATCTATTGGATCCACAAATTTATGGGGGGAAAATTCCGTACCAAATATACCACACTATACTATGATGGTATAGGATGGTAACTAGTTGTAGATGGTATTGAAAAGTGATAAATGATCATTAGTATATTCCTACTATCATGTATACAACCATTCTATACTTTCGTATATTCATACCATCATATATAAAATACACTTACATACTACATGAGATATTATTATATACTACCAAACATTACATATATCGTATACATGTCTTAATTTTTTTGTTTCAAAATATTGCAAAGTGAATTACACTTTAAAGAGCCCATTAAATTTGAATTTTCTATAAAAGTATTAAATTATGAATTAATACGATGGAGAAATAATAGATAAAAATTAATTGATAAATAAAAGTTTAGAGCTATGCATCATTCAATAGAATAACAAGCTTATCCTCACGTGTGAATTGTTTAATAGTCAAAACGCTGGTCACATCATCATGTTCCTCCTTTCTGCAAGAGACAATAATATTGTTCGGACTTCGGATCAGTTTCTATGGCGAGGTTGCGACTGACTCTGGGCTTCCAGTCTTCCATACCGCGTTGCCTAAAACTAAAACTAAAACTAAAACTAAAATCTATTTGCCGAAGTGGTTGAATAGGCACAGAGCCACAGACCGCTTCCCTATCCCTATAACAAAAAAAAAATGTTGGCTGGAGTTAGAAATATAAATGTGGCGGCTAAGAACTTTATTTTTATGGGATTTGAAATATGATTATTGAAGAAGGGGTAATAACCTTATCAACTAATTAATTTTCTAAATTTGTTACAAATTTTACATGTAAATCCATCTATAATATATGATAGAGTTTCAAGAAATTTTTATCAATTTGAATTTCCAGATTTTTCTTAATTGTAGTTGGGGTTATAATAGTAATTGACATTCTTACTTTTTAATAATGAAAAAATGTTAAATTTGTTGCTTGTGAAATATGAACCGTGGTTGTTTCAAAAAATAGACAATGATCATAACAAATCACACCGCATAGATTTGTTGTATCTCTTTAAATTAAAACATTCATGAAGCTAAAATGAGAAAATCACAAGACCATGCAGTTTGAACCTTGGTCTTTTCAAAAAAAGACAATGATCATAAGAAATCACACTACATAGATTTGTTGTATCTCTTTAAATTAAAAACATACCTGAAGCTAAAATAAAAAAATCACAAGGTTTTCCAGAGGTTAACTAGCGCAGTAAGTCTCCGATAAATACTTATTGATGTTTCGGTACTTCAATTTTTATATTATGATTGTTTTAATTGTATTATAATAGTTAATTTAAATTTATATCTTACAAATAAGGCTAACTTTAAAATCACAACTCAAATATCAATGCTTCGAATATTGCATTGAGTTCCCGTATTAATTATGCATAATTCTTAAATTTGTATTAGTTTTTAGAACTACTATGAAGCAATCATATTCATATATTTGTGCAAACTATATGGAACCGGTTCTTTGAACATTTTAGCCCGACTAATCGTTAAGTTTTAAACCTCTTTCTTATCCGACATAATTGGATCCAACAATCATTCGACGATGTGATGTTTAATATGTTGGTTCATTCCACATTTTTATGTGTTAAAGGATAGTGAAATGACTATGAAGATGCAATAGTCAATGAGATGAAATAACCATTTGATATGTTTGGATGTCATGTTATTTGATCTATTCATAAATAGCTAATTATGCAAAACAGTCTCCCATTTTTAAAGTTTTTAAAATGTTGAACTGTATCTTCTAAGAAAATGAAATATCTACCTATCAAGACATATTATCAATTTAAATTTGAGAAATAATGTATGGGGTAAGCCCAACGCGTAATGCATCTTTGCATTGCACAAAATTGGATTTTGGAACAGATACCTAGTTGAGCTTTAATGGGAAAGTCCTACAAGGTGATGAGAGTTCGTCATTAGTAAAATTATAAATTTTACCCGTTTAATTGATAGCCAACTCGATGATGTGTTTTTAAGGGTACGGATAAGACTTCCGGCACAAGTTGAGTTATAGGAGTTGTTCGCTCTTGCTCAGCCAATAAGGGTCTAATGCTATAGAAAGCTCTCGATACAAGAAAAAATAGAAAAATAGTTGTATGCAAGAGAAAACAATTTGAAACATAGAAAAGAGTATTTGTTTGAATAAGGCAAAGTGTTTTATGAAATGTCAAGTTGATAGTAGAAGCATTCAAAGCTTAAACGTTTATTAAAAGCTTAAACCTATCATTTTGAGACTCTAAAGCATAGTTAGTTGTTGGTACTTGGGTTGAATAGCATGATGTTTTTGCATGTTAACATGGTTAGGAGTCTCTCGTGCTATTGTTGACCTTGTAAGTTCACTTTAGATCCACTATCTTAGATCAATATTGGGTGGTGATTGTTGGTTTTCGTTGAGTTGTATGGTTATGAGTAGTGTGTGCTTGGGGACAAGCAAGACTCACTTATGTCAGGATGGGGTTTATGTCATTGGGCCTCACTTTGCAGACCTCTCATGTCTTCATCCCATCAGGAACTGAAAAAAACACTTCAAAAGAGAAAGCAAAAGAAGCTTGTAGGATTAAGAAGGTGATCACAACAAACTAAGTCATGTGAATTGATTATAATGACTCATGATCAATTACAGTTTCCCCATTTCACTGTTTGTTTCAACTTATTTACCATGGTTGCAACTATACTTCTAAAAGTATACTTGTGTATCAGGATTCGAAAAAGTCGGCCAACATTATGGAGAGTGATTTTAGATCAATATTGGGTGGTGATTGTTGGTTTTCATTGAGTTGTATTGTTATGAGTAGTGTTTACTTGGAGAGAAGCAAGACTCACTTATGCCAGAATGGGGTTTATGTCACTGGGCCTCACTTTGCGCACCTCTCATGCCTTCAATCCATCCGGAACTGAAACAACTTCTGAAAGAGAAAGCAAAAGAAGCTTGTAAGATTAAGAAGTGGATCACAACAAACTAAGTTGTTGAGAGAAGGAGCAGCAGATGACATCATCTCTTGAGAGGCACACAAGGAAAGTCGACCAATCAGGCAAATCAGGATCAAGCAGAAAGGGAAAGAATCAAACACTTACCTTCACCAGGCCAATTCATTCTCAACGGCTCTGAGTTCAAACAGAAGTATATAGTCTATGTGAGGGATCAGTTGTGCAGTAGTTTTTTCCCAACGATTGAAAACAAAAGAGAGAGCTAGAAAGAGTGAAAGTCTTTTGGTGTAATCGTGTAGGCAAATCGGAGAGATTTGCAGGGAAAAACAAGGGTGATTGAACGTGGAGTTTGAATCACTAGAGATCAGTAGTTTGGTCGATCAACAGGGAGCTGATTCAGAGTTCGCCAAAGTTTGTAAGAAGAAAACAAATCATAGTGATTATGTAGGAGATCCCAAGATGAGAGTCTCCTATCGTGGATTAGTCGGTGTTAGGTTCATTAATCACCTAACACCGGATACCACGTAAAAATATTGTGTCTGTGTTCATTTGTGTTTTTATTCTGCTGCATATTATTTTCAGTTTGCATTTGTGCTCTTGATTTAGTGCAAGTTCAAGTTCTTCTTGCAGAACAGGACTTGATCGATTTGCACAGGGTGAGAAGAAAGAAACTGAGTTTGTAAAATGCAGAGTTTCATGAAAGTAATCCGGGCCAACTTAAAATCGACAGATTGAGAACAAATTAAGCCCAGCCCACTTCAAGTTTCAGTTTTGAATTCGTTGTCGTTTTGGTTCGAAAGGGAAGTCGTTTTACCCTTTCCATCATTTCGTTTTTCCTGTTTATTCCAATTCCCTCACTAGTTCTTGTCAAGATCGAATTTAGGGTTAAGCAGAATCTCAATTGATCGGAGAAGAAGAGGGAATCGACGCCGGAGTCTCGCGCTCGACTCAACTAACATAAGTCATGTGAATTGATAGTAATGAATGATGACCAATTATAGTTTCCCCATTTTAGTGTTTGTTTCGGCTCATTTACCATAGTTTCAACTATACTTCTAAAAGTATACCTATGTATCGGGATATGAAAAAGTTATGCAACATTGTGGAGAGTGATCGTCATCTCTCCGAACAGCAAGTGAAACATGTTGGTGTCCAGCTGTCACCTCTCTAGAAATGTCTCCAATAGAGGATGATCTAAGTGTCTCATCATGGAGTAGCATAAGTGGTACAACCCTGATGACCTGAAAAAGTTATGCAACATTGTGGAGAGTCATCGTCATCTCCCCGAACAGCAAGTGAAACATGTTGCTGTCCAGCTGTCACCTCTCTAGAAATGTCTCCAATAGAGGATGATCTAAGTATCTCATCACGGAGTAGCATAAGTGGTACAACCCTGATGACCTGACCAAGTCCTCTGCACTCAGAGTCTCAAACCTGTTCATCGTTAGACGCTCCATCGCAACCTTCTATGTGTAGAACATAAACTTGTGTTCTACGCTTACGTATACATATTACACTTACGTATTTTGGACATTGCTTTCTGGTCGCCTGCCATTAATATTACACTTACGTATTTTGGACATTTCTTTCTGGTCGCCTGCCATTAATAGTACACTTACGTATACATATTGCAAATTTAATACGGGTATACAAGGTATTGTTATAATAATCAACACAGATCAATGGTTTGATCATTAGAATCACTAATCTATTTACAATAGTAGCTTTGTTAATTTAATTGGATGGTTAGAGAAGGATCGAACGGGTTTTAAGGGTTTGACATGAAACCAAATGAACCAACTTGGTCTAATTAGTCTGATTTTCACTATGTTAACCACAAAAAATTAAGGAAAAAATAGAATAACACTAACTAAGACCATCAAACCTCAATCACTAAGTTTACTCATGCTACCTTTTTTCATTTCCCACACCTCATTTCGGATTTATCTGGTTCACTATAGATTGCCACTCTTATTACTCATTTGAATTTAATAAAAATATAATGATTTCTTTTGTGAGATAGTTTGAATGCTTTGTTAGAACTTTTTGGTGATAGATGATCATATGAAGTTAATTTTTTTTGTGGATAGTGATAAATTCACTCATATATTAGTGTATGATATATGTGTTTTATATTAAAGCGTATGAATGATTCTATCAACGATTAACCATTGATTCATCAAGCACTAACTTTTCCGGTTGAGCAATCGGTCCGTGTCTCAAAACATTGGTATAAAGTATTGGTGTAACTTGTATTTAATTCATTACTATATTATTATTTAAGTGTAATGGAACATCAAGCGTTTGTAGTCCAACGGTTAGGATAATTGCCTTCCAAGCAATAGACCCGGGTTTGACTCCCGGCAGACGCATTATTTTTCCCTCTTTAAATTTTGAAATTTCATTACGGTAGTCGTAGTACTCGGCTTGTTACTACTTTGATTCAAAAGGTAACCCACTTTCTCCGGGCAAATTTAGGAACAACTTATTTTGGGTAAAAATATGTTATGGTAAATTTAAATTTTAGTGCCTTTACATTTTCTCCTTACACTATAGTACCTAAACTTATAGAATTTTACAAACAAGTACAATTTGTTGCTATGTGGAATTTCAAATCACTCGTTGTTGATATGTTTTGAAATTTTCAAGTAATGCACTAGACATGTATTTGGAAATTACCCCACAAATTTGGTACAAATTCAAATACTATATTTTATTAATATAAAAATAAATATTTTGATATTTGGAAATCCAAATCTCAAATACTGTCACAACCAACTGATCCCTATAACTCGAGTTGACGAAACAAGTTTTTCTAAATTGAATGAACCCATTTGTGCTCCCATATAGCCTTCTTATTATTGATATCACAAATTTTATATTTTTATTAGCTCATTTGAATTTAGAGACTAATGTTGGAGATGATTGTGTATATCTTAAGTTAAGTGGGAGTAAATTCATTTTCATGTTGTATATATCATTGATATTGTACTTTAGGGTGTGCCTACGGAGACATGCATGTCACGGTGACTTGCACTTTTCGGTCGACCTCAGTTAGGATTAGCCTGGAAAAAAAAAGCCTTCGTAGCAACTTCGAGCTTTTTGTTTGAAGCCTTAAAGATATCCAATATTTCATCAAATGCCTTGAAATTGTATAAAAACATATCTAATTTCTGAACGAAAATTTGAGATAAAGGCTCTTAGTCTTGCCTCTTTTGTATTTAGTATTGAGGCACTGAATATCATTCTCAATGTACACTCAATTCCAAAAGAGTTATATCAATAAAGTTTAAGTAGATTTCACATAAAAGTTTGTAAATCAGGAAAGGTGTTGTAGTTAAACGAGACATTTAAGTTTAAATTAGTGTCTCAATAGTGATATTGAAAGAATAGAGGTGCAGAAGATCCTTTAGACATATTAGGTGAATATATATGTGATTGGCCCATCCTCAAGTGTTTATTTTAATTCTGATAAAAGTTCTTGGCTTCAACTAATAAGGGCTTTCATCGAATAGGATGTTCGAAAGCTAATCATGCTTCTTGGTTATGTTATTGATCTAATCCATACCGCAAATGAACCAGACCCAAGTCAAGTAGTCATATAAATGACATTCTTTGAGTTAGTGCCGAGATCCATATATAAACGCATGTGGGAAAGAGATAGGATTTATGAATTGGTGGATTCATTCATAAATTCAAATGATATTAAAGTCTTGGATCATTGTGTAAATTTTAAAAAGTTTAAGTAATACAATGTTCCAAAACATAACTTTTCAATAATATTTTTGTTTAAAAATAAATATTAGGTCTCAAAATGTAAAATAAAAAATATAGATACTAAGCACTAATTTTTCATTAGGATCAATTGAATTAATGGAATATTTTACTCATGGATTGAATTTTATTCGTATACTTGCAATAGGCATCATCTCTCATCGTGAACAGGAATTGAATGAACCATCTTTTTTATTCATCACTCCACCTTCAATTATTTATAGGGTGTAGGGTTGGGCATGCGAGCGGATCACCCGCGGGTTTAGACCGACACACTCGCATATGTGGATGGTGATGGGTGGCGCTGGGAGCCATCCGATGTGTGGCGGGTGGGTTGTGGGTGCGTGCGCTGGTGACCTGCTCAACCCAACAGCAAAAAGAACAAAGTCGTTAGGGTTGCAGAGGGGAGGGTGAAGACGTTAGACGGGAAATAGGGCTGCTCCTAGAGATTGAAACTCAAAGCCAACCTTCCAAATAGAGATCCCCTCTTCTTCTCTTTATTTTTTCCTCTGATTCTTGTGTCTAGATAACCTCTCTTTCCTCCGTTAAGTTATGTTCCTTAGATTTCCTGCACTTAATAATCCTCTCCATCTGTAAAAAGCTTCTCCATAATAGAATTTCTATACAATTGCAGAACTAATTCGATATTTTTCCCTATTCCATCTTGTTTCCGCCCGATAACTCTCTCCACTGATTATCATGTCAAGATGACTCATTCATATTATATATATTGTGATGTGGGAGGGCTGGGAAACGGTGCAGTCTGGTCCAGACCAGACCATATATATGGTCTATGGTCCAGACTGAGAGGTTAGAGTATAGACCAGAGACCAGACCACTTACTATATGGTCTAGACCAGATCACGATGTGCGGTCTCGTCCAGATAGACCACGATGAACGAAAAATTAACAATTTGTTTAGTCAACCACACAAAAATTAAATCAATAAGCGAGGAAATTTTTTTTTTTCATTAAAATATAAACTCCAACATGCATGAAAGATGTTGACACCCTAAATCTAAGTAAACAAGAAAAATACAAAGTCAAAGCCTCACACCTTGCACTATAACTTGCACCATAACGTCATAAACATTAACATAATGTCGTATGGAGACACGGTCGTCTCCACTCTCTGCTGAAATGTGGTTGTGAATGAAAGAGGGGACGAGTTTCTCAAAATTAGGGTTGAGACTTGGGTCTTGTTGGGGGGATCGAGAGAGTGGTCAAGTGGCTGCAAACACGTATTGGGAAGTTGATTAGGTCCTCGGTTTGGTCGGGTAAACTGCGGTCTAGACCAAACTAGATTAAGAGATTAAAACATCATATAATACAGACTATGGACCAAACACTACAAAAAAGAGGAGATTTGGGGACGACAAAAGTTGTCCCCGGAAATAGCAAAAATCGTCCCTATAGTTTTTGGGGACGACCAAGTCGTCCCCAATGTGTGGTTCCCTATACTCTTGTCCTCTATTCTTTTGGGGACGACAAAAATCTAGGTCGTCCCCATTACTAGGGACGAAAGTCGTCCCCCATAATAACAGGTCGTTGTCTGGTTTCTTTTCTATCAAAGACAACATGTCGTCCCTATAGCTAAGACTTTAGGGACAATAAGTCGTCCCCTATACATCAATCGCAGGGACAGACTGTAGTCCCTAGAATCGATTACATGTTTATATTGGGCCTATCTGGGGATAATTTATCGTCCCCTTGCCTTTTTATAGGGTAGACATGTAGTTCCTATAGGTATCAAAGTGGAGTCCAAAAATCATCCATGAAAAGTTTATTCAAGGCCTACGAGTTGTCTCTTATACTATATCTTTAGAGACGACAAATTGTCATGTATGACTTTAGGGACAAACAATTGTCCTTTAACTTATGTATTGGGGACGAGGAGTTTTCACTTATACACCTTCCGAGAAAGACTAAATATCCCTGATGTAACTCGTATGAATGACATATATCACTTGAGCAAAATATGATAAATATAATCCAAAAATTCAATTAATAAGAACTCCTTATTGTGAGCCATTAACCACAAAAGGATAAGTAGGAATACATTGTTTCTAAATAAAAAAGACGACATAATTTCTACATCACAAGTAATGTTAATTATCACAATCAGGCTCAACTGTAATAAAAAATGCAAGTATAAATATTGTCTGCCAAATACTTAATATGATTCCTTCAACAATGAAAGGGGCTCCTCCAGCAATCTTTTTAGCCACAAAATTTGTACATATGAGGAACCATATATCCTGTCATATCCCTGCATATATAACAAATTTGCACGTTGTAACACCAATACAAAACGTAAAACATGTACTTTGTTCTCTTTAGTCATTCCTTGGTTATGAGTTCATACAGCAAGCCATTAGCTAATTAGCTAAATGGAAATAGTAGAAAATTCTAGAGATGCAGAGGAATTGGAAATCATCTTTACCTG